TTTTAAGGATTAACTAAAGCCTCTCACAGCAATTAAAAAAAAGGCAAAGTGACGGAGCGTTGACTGTAGGAGGTGTGGCCTCATGGCTGTAGTGTGTGATGTGGAGGGTCAGGGGACACAGGGAGGGGGGGTTAACATCCGCCCTCTGTCACTTCTTGTTACGCTCTGGATACAGCTCGGGGGCCTCATGTGTTGTCCTTTAAATAATCATCATATCATACAAAGAAGAATCTGTGTAATTGTGCGCAAACAAAAAGCAGAGTTAAAAGCTTTGGCAGCGTTACTTGGCGTAGAAAAAGGAAGTTTAAATAGAACACTTAAAACAATTGTTGTGTCCTAATTCGGATATGTCAGTTAGCACATTGTGTTCACACTTTATTTACAGGGGTAGTGTGTGAATTTATTTGGGTTGCCTTCAATCAAACACGCATGGTGCGCTTGTTGCATTCCAAAATAAATGCATGGTTTGACTCAAACTCTCACAGTCTGCATTGGGTTTTCCCTCAGTCTCTCCTTCCCCTGTTCCTCCCCTTCATCTCATGAGACCTGCCTCAGGCTTTCCTTCATGTTCCTATTCACTTCTTGTCTTTCCTTATTCCAGCTCCTTTGTCCCAGTCTGTGTGAGATCATGTCTTTTGTTCCTGCTCTTGTCGTCTCTTCTTTTGTGATCCTGCTCAGGGTCATATCTGTTCTTGTCTTCTTTAACCGCCCTTCAACTCATCTGCATGTCCCCCTGTTTACTTTAATCAAAGGATCTTCACTGCACCTTATACAATGTAAATCAGTCAGTGTCTCTCTGACTGTTTTCTGCTTTTCGTCACTTGACTTTCTGATTTCTTTGTGACATTCTGCTTGTTGTGGCCCATTTCCTCCAAATCATATCACACGGTATAAGTGTCCAGACCATTTTCTAGATAGAATATGAATTAGAGGTGGGCGTCTAGGCGGTACACAGCATTTGGGTCAGTGTCACCAGTATCATGTTAGAAATTCTGTCTGAAAATGCCATATGCCAAACGTCAACCTCGGGTTGTAATGTCCATTAGATTCAGTTCATGTTAATTTGACATGAAAATCAACTTGCAAACTCTTTAAACCTGTTAAAATAGATAGAACATGTAAGCAAACACAAGTGAAGTGGTTGTATGGGGGTGTTGTCTGCAAGTTAGAATTATCTTTGGCAAGTGTGTGAATGTCATTATGAACGTTGAAAAAAACGCTTTCCAAATGTTTAATGATTATTAAATTATTAGGCCAATATGAATCACATTTAACTCTTCGATGTATCTCTACAGTTCTCCGCTCGTCTCACAGGTTTGAAAGATGCGTGCAACTGTACAGATTTAACATTTAGTAAAGTATGAGGGAGGAGGAAACAAGGGACCTGCCGGCAAAAAGTGGAGCCAAGATGAAAACTCCCACATGAATGGCATCAGCTTTCCAAAAGGACACTTTCATCAAAATTTCAAATGAACCACTTTTGGAACACGCTCATCATCACTTGTTTTCATTTCTATTTTTTTGTAAAGCATCCGAAACAAAACAGGTTGGTAACATGATCTGTCGACTCTACAGCTCACTGAGTACCTGTTAATCTGGACAAAAAACAAAGTGCTGAACTATGTATTGACAAGGAGCAAGGAAGTCTCTATTGTCAGGCAAGAAAAAATTAGTTTTATCTGATAAATTAGTGAGTGTAAGAGGTGCTGGACGGTTTCCCCGTTTCCTGTCCCTGGGGATAGAAAATACCACAAATATCCAATTTATTTGTATTACAGCATAGCTACAATACCAGACTGTGTTTCTAATGTGCATTGACTTGATGCAAGGCAGAGTGCAGAGGGAATTGTACTTGCATACAGCACGTCCTATACTTGGTAAGTAGGAAGTTCTGAAACAGCCTCACGACTGAAATGTCTCAAGCTGGTGAAGTGGAGACTGTCTCACCAGTTTGGAGCTGGAAGTGTCTGCGCAGCAGAAACACACCTCTGCTGCAAAGAAGAGATCTGACATCAGCGTGGAGAAAAAGACACTTTGGGGTGCCATAACAAATAATGCACCTGAACACCAGAAGTGCGATTGATTGCAGCCTGGAGAAAAAGGGGGTGAATCACAGCCCAGCCTGCTGTAAAAATGATGCCTGTTTGATATGGAAGCTATCAGCAGTGACCTCACAGGAGATTGATGTCAAACTCCACTTGATTGTCTTGTTCCGGTGCTGCACGAATGGAAAATTTGCAGTAGCATTTTCCTCATAATCACCATCCCTTATACCCATAGAGCTATTGATCATATTTTTTAGCAGAGGAACTCACAGTTTGAACAGTGCAAAGCTGATTTTCTTTCTTCACACTGACTTTGAAATATCTCTGCTGCTGCTGCAGTGGATGTTATATTCAAAAAGCAATAGAATATGAGTATAACCCCACTTTCCCAAACAAATGAATAACAAGAATAGTGTTTTTACATAATGGCATAAGGTTCTTTGTTCTTGTTCATTTGAACAAAGTGTCATCTCCGTTTTCCACTTCCTTTCCTTTTTTTGTAAAGGTGGTGATCCAAACAGGTTTAATGAAAAGTGTGCTTCGCAAACTTCCGTGTCCTTCATGCTTTTCAGGCTCGATGTTTTTTTCTCACAAAGAAATGACAGAGCTACTTTATCTCTGCCAGGAAACCAGACAGGCAAGACAAATAGATTCCTGCAGCCTGGCTCTCACCCCTGACCAGCCAGGATGAGTTGTCTGTCGTGCTCTTATGAAGAGAACCGGTGGCTATATTCCCACCTGACAGACGCAGGAACCTGACCAGGCTGCACCTTACCTCCCTTATACAGCAACTCTAAACTCTTCTGTGGTTTCCCCCAAAGACCCAGTGCCATCATTACATGTCATGGAGCAGATGTAGCCTCAGAGTAACTCAACCCTTCTTCCAAATTCTGTCTTTCCACCCTGTCATGGCGGTGTTGTCAGATCTTAGGGGATTGATGGGCTGCCGGAAATAAGACTGCACCCTCAGTGAACCGAGCACTAATTATCAATCTGGTGCAATTCCAGGGAGCAGCATGCGACTTATTTGACAGGCCTAACAGCTATTGATGGGAGCTCTACCTTGGCACGGAGCTTAGATGCACCCTTTGGAACGGGACTGGGTCCAGGACAATGATGGAAAAGCAATGTTCAGTGTTCAAGTATCTTTTTTTTTTATAATGTGTGACACTGAAAATGGACAAACAAGAATAACTTTTCCAAATAAAAAGGAACATTTGTGAAATGATTCTACGACTGGGTGCAACTACAACGTTGCTGCCTCATTTGTGATTAAATTGCATTTCAGTGCAAGACACAACAAAACGAGACAGAAAGGAGACATATTTATATATAGTGGCTATGTAATGTACTTGCTGATGAAGGCATTTGAAAACAAAAGGGGGAAATAAAATATTAGACAAAGACAAGGAGAAACCATTCCCCCCACACGCTGATGCAGCTCTTGGTCTGGTCCATTTATTGGACCTCTGTATTCTAATAGGCTCCACCCTCGACCTCCTCAAACCAGGAAGCAGGACTGATAAAACACACACTATAGCTCAAGCTCAAAAATATAATTGGCAATACAACTGTAAGTGTAAAACAAATGAAACGTAAGTAACAGCAAACCAACAAGCTGCGGTGATGTTTTAAGAGAGTGTAAAAACAAACGTATCTTTTGAATTTGTGTGTTGGTTGTGGTGACATAGGATGAATATGCTCCTATTTGAATTGTTTGGCTGTGGATATGACCATCACATGCTCTCAAAGCATGTTTTGAATTAACTGAACAGTAAAGGTGAGACAGTGTTTCATCTTAACATAATTTGAACATGACAGTCACTACCAGGACTGTGAAACCATTTGGACCCCACCAACATCGCAGATCGCACTTGTTTGGATTCTTCAAATGGGAAGGGTTTTTGCCTTTAAGTAGAGACGATGGATCGTTTGGCCAATTTTGAATGTTGACGTATTTGTTCAGGCATGAGTAGGATGTCTTCTGGATGCCTTCTTATACCAGTAATATGCATACATCCTCTTGAGTGTAAGCCAGAAATAGCTCTGTGTCATGGGATTATATATTCCAGTAGGCACAGGAATGATGTGGTGTCTCTATTAAGAAAAAGCAGATGGATGAATGATTTTATTTCAGGACATGCTTTATTGTTAAGGATTTTTGAAGTTTTGGGTTTCCAAAGATTTAGTTTCCCCTCATGATTAGTATTCTGAGTGTAATAATTTTGCAACTCTTTTATATAAAACTAACTTAGGGAAAGTCATGTTACTTGCGAGACTCAGAATTAGTTAATATATCTCAAGTTGCAGGAGATATATTAACTAATTAACTAAACAAGTGTATCTGTGATGCCTGCGAATGAGGGCAACTGCATTTCATATTAAATCTAGTATTTATCATCTCAAGCCTTTCTCTATTACTGAAACACAAATGTATGCTTTACACAGTATATCACCTGTATGTCACACAAGTGATCCTGCCGACAATGCCAACTTTGTGGAGGCATTTTCTGTTGAATAAATAACAAAGTCAACAATGTCAAGTCTTTCTTAGATGTCATTTGGCACCTGCAGATAGACTCATCATGAGATGCGAAAATGAACCAAGTTAAGACGGAACATTAGCGATTTATAATGCCTGGCTCTCACAATCACTTCATGTCATTGTGTCGCCCTGTCCTTGGATGTGCAGTGAAGTGCTTGTGCGGCAAGTGTGTCATGCAAAGATTGTTAAGAATACTGTCGGATGAAAAGAGCTTTTACTCTTGAAGGAATAACAAAGAAATGAATTGTATAAAACTTTCTATTACAGTAGCAGAAGATATCACAGATTTCAATATTCTCAATACCGAACACACATTTATCCACCGCACCTGAGGAGAACGTGTGAAAACGGAAATCAACCCCTTATTTCTGCTCCGCTAATGTCTGTTTTCCTCATTTTCTCTCCTGCAGAGTCGGAAACACGCCAACAAAGTTCGGCTGTATTACATGCTACATCCTGTGGATGGAGGCTGCCCTGCCAAGAAGCTCAGAACAGACAATGTAAGTCCTGTGTGAATTCTTCCTCTGACTCTCCATTCTGCCTCTGTGTCTCCCCACAGTCTCAGTAACCACCTGCAAACAGTCACATGTTAGTCAACCGTTGCATCTCATGGGAACTGTCGCTTTTCTAACGAGACACCCTAAGCCCCCACCCCCTCTGTTTCGCAATGGCTGACAGATAAACAGCGGCGGCATATATCTCGACCAATGAACAATGCGACAGTGACGCCGCTGCGGTTGGATGCAAGGGGACGCCAACCTTTCATCAAACACAAGACACATTGCGGGGTATCCAGCCCTCCCAGCCCTCTGTGTCATGTAAACTGAAAGTACATGACGTGTTTGACAGACACAATTATGTGGCCTGTCATTCCTCATTCGATAAGCTCCTGTGTGTCATGCAGCCTCTACAGCTCGAACCAACTTCTGCTCCTCCTCGTCTCCTTTGGGTGAAAAAACAAGAACATGGTTTTTCACGTCCATGTTGCTTCATGATGTGGAGATGTCACGGAGCATGTGGAGATTTATTGTCGTTGCCACTGTGAAAGGGGTGTCGACTTTCCTTCCGAGTGAGGCTCATGGTGATGGAGGAGAGGCTGCAGTGGAGAGGCTGCAGTGGAGAGGCTGAGGTCCCCTCTGTGTTTACTGTGACTTAGCCAGTTATCAGTCTGGAAATCTGTGTTTCTGAGGTGGATAAAGACAAATCCGGAACACTGCCTCTTTTTCTCTCTGCCTCAACCAGTCCTGCTTTCCTGCTTCTGTGTCACTGTCCCCACCCTGACAACCCATCGCTCTAATTCCCCTGACTGTCTCTTCAGGCTCCTCTCCTGTTTTTCTTGTCAAACAGAACCGCTCATCATATCCATCAGTTTCTACAATTCCCTTTGTACTTGCCTCTCATTATCCTTTTCTTAAATTCCCACTAGCATTCCGTTCCTTTAAGCTCTTCTACTCTCCCATGGTTTTATCTCCTCCTCTTTCCTCTACTTTCTTTACCTTTCCTATCCTTTAAATTCTTCTACTTTCCTCTATTTTCCTCTGATTTCCTTTCTTTTCCTCTGATTTTCTCTCTTTTGCTTTGCTCTATACTTTTTGCTATCTAACCCATCATGCTCTCTTTGCCTCTTGTGTTATCTCTCCTCAGTGTCCTGCTACATGTCGCTGCTACATCTGAGATTTCCTCAATTCCCTTTCCTTGTTTTTCACTTCTCTCTACAGTGATGATGACTTCACCCTTTACTTCCATTTCCTCTTCCATTTTTTAATTGTTTTCTTCCATCTCATTTTCACTACTTTTCTTTCCTTCCCTTCCTCTGTTCCGTTTTCTCCTCTTCACTCATTTCATCATCTCCAACATCTCCAACCATTCTCACTCTTTCCTGTCTTTCCCTCCCTGTCATTTTTCCTTGCCTATCTCCTATTTTCATCACTTTTTCCCACCTCACTACCTCTATCCTTCTGATGTCTTCTTCTTCCATCTCATACATCTCAACCTAAGCTTACTTATTTCCCTCTTGCCCTGCATTTCCTTCTCCTCTCCTCCTTTTCCATTCCTCACAATTCCCCAACAAAAGCTCTTTGTGTGACTGTTTCTTTGATGTGATTTTTTTTTTGCAATCTGCGAGGCGCGGGAGTCTTGTACTCTATCTCCTGTCAGTGTTCTGCTGAAGCTTTTGTCACTCCCACGGAAACCATGGGGATCGCAGAGATGAGTGATGAGACTTCGATGTAGGAGCAGGGACGTCACGGCTCATCATTCTTTCACTGCCTTTTGTGGGTTCCATTACCTTCTTGTCAGCCGACACAGGTACAACATACTGTGTGACCGTTTGATACAGTGTCAGACTGTACTCCTTCCTGTCACCAGCTGGATTTCTGCTATGATGTGTAATCAGAATCAGAATCTGAAGTACTTTATTAATCCCCATAGGGAAATTCAAAATAATAATATTTCATTTAGAATATTTATCAAGATTTGAGGATAAACAAAGAATACCTCAAATGTGGGTCAATGTGTGAGTCTGCGATGACCTTTGTTGCATTGGAGCGGTTTCCCTGTTTTGAGAGTGAAACTATTGTTTGACTGATTTTCATTTAATCTATTGATTCAGTGAAAACCCATAGCTTTAAAGATCTCAGTAACAGACGAGGACATTGTTATCGAGCGACTGGCTCAGGAGTTAGAGTGAGTTGCCCACTAACCAGAGGGTAAGTGGTTCGATCCCCCTGGCTCCTCCAGTACACATGCCAAAGTGTCCTTGGGCAACACACTGAACCCTAAATTGCTTGACAGTATAAAAGCACTATATAAACGTGTATGAATGGGTAAATGTTACTTGACTAGTGGTCAATAAAACTAGAGAAGCACTATATTGATACATATAGTTTATTTATTTCATTCAGTTATTGATGTTGGAGGAGATGCTGATTCTTTACAAAAAGAAGTATAGATCAATATGTGTATAATGACGATACAAATGACTGCTGGTACAAGCTGGTACTTAAAACATTAACGCTCTTACAGAGAATTATCACCAACTTTTCTCTTACGGCTCTCCAGCTTTTTCATCTGAAGCATATAATGAAACATTTAGCAGATAAATAACAACATACTGGTAATTGGTTGACTTGGACTAATGGGCCATATTCAAGTGTCCTAAAACATAACATTAAGTGAAGGGCGAAAATACATATCATATTGTATCATACATTTATTTGACCTCTTATTTTATTTCCTTTCTTTCCTTAATCAAATCACATAACAAATGAATTGTACATTAAAAAACAGCCATCATCATAACATGATTGTTATTAATTAACATATAGATAAAATGAACCTGTGAAGAGTGACAAGCAAGAATGGTTACTTTATTATGTGCAGCATTGTTTTGATATAAATAGGCAGCATTTTACTATCGTAGCTGGTACATATGTCAACAGAATCTTGATTGGAGTCAAAGTTGCAATGTTTTCCCTCCGACATATGGTGAAAAAACAACATAAAATTGAAATATAAAGTACCAATGCCTTTAAACTTGACATCATATAGCACTTCAGCAAAGGTTCTTATAGCCATTTTCAACCACTGCTGCATTTAAACCCTTAAACGCCACATTGAGTGTTGATAGTAAAAGAGATTCATGCAGTGTGATTCAGAACTTGGCAAAGGGCCCGAGGTGGAAGCAGTTGAACACTATGAATTGTATTTTTTTTTCCCACTGTGGCCTTGACTATTATTCCAGCTGCTCTCAGCATCAAAGCTGTTAGTGTTTTTGTGTACGGCTGTCAGGTGGAATCTGTGTCTGCTTTGTACTGGCTGTGTTAACAGGGACAGTAGGGAAATTGGTTTCAACAGGGATCGGGCTGTTTTCTCAGACTCTCTGTCCATACTGCATCACTGAGCAGAAGACTTAACAGGAGAAAGGCCCCTAGTCGAGTTCATATCAGGTGACCTTGCTGGCTTGTGTCAACTTTAAAAAAAAGGCCATGGTGTGAGGGGAGGTTGAGCTCAGGGTTTCTGTGCAAGTGTGTGATGTAATGGTCAGAAATGTGCTTCAATTTCTTGTGAGCTAGAATCAATTCTAAATAAAATATGAAGGCACATTTAGGCAAAAGTTGTTTGTTGTTTATTGCTACCTTGTTATCCTGCAGTACAAGGGACAATAAGTCAGCTGGGTATCCATGGAGACAGGAGTAAAGATACGTTCAGACAGCGATCACAAAATACGCTTCAATACATCTACCTTGAAACAGCAAATATGTATTTTCAACTGATTTACAGTTCACATGAAAATGCAAGTTGCAAATGTGTTGCTGCTGAACAGCGGGCAGCAAGAAGGCTCTTGATTTGATTCCCGGTTCAGCGGAGGTCGTCATGTGTGGAGTTTACATGTTCTCTGTGTGTATATGTTTTTTCCGGGTATTTCAGCTTCCTCCCACAGTCCAGACATGCAGATCGGGGTTAGGTAAATCGGAGACTTTAAATCATCTGTGTGAATGTTGTTGTAAATGGTTGTTTGTCACTGTATGTCAGCCATGTGATACACTGGCAACCTGTCCAGGGTGTAGACTTTCAGCTCCAGCCCCCTCATGACTTTCAGATGAGGTTTAGATGATGGATGGATGGCACAGGGTGGAGAATGGGGTGGACGAAAGGTCTACAAAACCATAATGGGCTTTATGTTTTTCACAAAAGTAAATGAGCAGTTGTTTATTTGTCGAAGAGACGATAGACAAAACTGTTAACTGACAGTTATAGTTGATGGTGATACATTTCCATAACATAACATATCTAGAATGACACTCAATAAAGTGCATACCTCTGCCAAGGCCCAGCAGTGCCCTTAATGAAACCAGATTTATATTCACAAGATCCAGATTTAAATTTGGAGCTGCACCAAATTGCACACGCTTATGAAAATGTGTCCTTTAGATGTCTTTTTAAAAAAAATTTAATCAAGGTCTGTGAAATATTCTCTGACAAATCAACAAATCTTTTGAAACATGCCTTATCTCAGTATGTCTAATTAAGTGGATCCTGGATCCACCCCTCCTGAAGTTCTTCCAACCCCTCCACAAAAATAAATAAATCGTTTGAGTAGTTTTTGCACAATGTTTGTCACCCAAATTGTTCTTGATGGATAAATGAAAGCACAAAGAGAAGCTCATCTAATAAGATCCAGTCAGTGACAATAAAGTCTGTGGGTGTCTTCATTCAAACGGCCTGTTGTCTCACAAAAGGATTTTGTAAAGAGGCTTGATTACAAACTCAGATGTGTGTCGTATGTAAACCTTATTTCTCCCAGAATGAAGTTTAAAGTTCACAGAGGTTGACACAGGCCTTCTTTAATAATACATTGAAATGAAAGGCTGGTTTATGCATCCTAGGAGCCACGCATGTAAAAACTAAATGAAACTCGTCAGAGTTATATTTAGTGCAAATGGTACGACTCAAGGATTTTTCTCCAGGCTGTTTTGCATGTTTTATTCCATCCTTAAAA